TGTTAGCCCCTGCCCCAGCCTCGTCTCAGCAGCATGGCCACGCACCTGCTTTCCAGCTAGGCTGACTTTAGCCACCATTGCAAATGTAATGGATCCCTTCTTTGAAAATGGCTAAGCCTCAAAAAACACCCCAGCAGGTCCAAGGCAGTTACCTCTCCCCGCAACCCTACCTATCACGTTTATATCAAACAGTTTCTCATAGGGAGTCAGAGATTACACCAGCCCTCCTGTTCTTACATGTTATTAAACTAACCCTCTTCTGACAAAGCCTTTGTGTGGACAACCTGAAAAAAAAAATGCTGGCTTTAGATTTGTGAGGCCCTTGTACACGGATGGCAAGACTGGCCTGGACTGTCGGCACCGATGCACGGGCCGATCGTGCACCCGAGCACAGGTTTGTGCACCGAAGTGCAGCCATCGTCAGCCGCTTCATCAAATCACAACGGTGTTCTGATGCGGTGCAGCTGCATGGAGGTTCCACGCATGAAGCTGCTCACAAGTGTTTCACAGCTTATTTAAGAATGGAAAGGTAGAAATGTAAACACAGACTGATGCCGGTCTAGCGCCTTTCTCCAAAAGCCTCCCCCCTGCTCAGTGGTTGGCTTTGCTTTGCACGTGGAATTTCTAACCTAAGGAAGAGAGGTCCTGCCATGTGGCACTTGGACTTCAAACCTCAGACCCACTTCTTCTGCTAAACACACTTGTCCTAAGTATCACTTTGGTGCTGTTTGTATTTTTTTTTCCTGAACAGGAACCAGTGTACATTTATCTGGAAGGAAGGAAACTGCAGCTGACCCGTATTCTGAAGCCGGAGCTCATCCTCACAGTTTGACGAGGCTGCTGAAAGGATGTGGCAAAACATCAGCTTTCTCTTTAAAAAAAAGAGCTAAGCAACTTACAAGTTCACATGTGCAACTCTGAACTTGCAGTGTGTTTTGCACATCTCCTGCAAGCTTGTTTTTAAGTAAGCGGAAAGCTTAGGCAGTATTTTTGAAACAGAAGGTACATGTCTCCAAGTACCTAAAAATGCTGGCCCTGCCAACGCTAGACTCACTTTCGCTTTCACATGCCCATGTTTGAATATCTACCCCTGCCCGTACTTCATTCCCAAACGCAGATATTACTTGGAATGGTCAGAGTGGAGAAGAGTGTCCAAATGTTTCAAACCCTGTACATATAGTCAGTCAAAACAGTTTTGGGAGCAGTAGCGCTTATTGAAAATCCCCCACAGTGATGCTGTGAGTCAGTGCTCTGCTCAAAGCCATTTGCATTTTTTCTTTTCATCAAATAAGGCTTTTACTTGCTGGAGCTGTTTCTGGACTTCTTCAAACCCCCGTTCTCGCTCGAGTTTGCTGACAATCTGTTAACAATTAGCAAAAAAGAGAATAATTTTTTTAGCGCTTATTTTACTTGCTGTTTTTTAAAGCCTGCTTTTCTGCATTCCAACAACTACTGGCAGAAAAATCCATCTGAATGCCTGGCTATATGTAAACATTCTTTTCTGACTTTAACACTTTATTTTGGTAGTTTTCCTTTCAAGTCATTATGATTACAGGATTTGCAACACTTCCACAAAAGAATGACAGAGCCAAGCAAAAAACCCCAAACAAATCCAACACATGTTCATCTCTTGAAGCGTGAGGCAAGGCCAGTGCTCCAGTTTTACCCTAGAGCAGATTTGCAAATGATGTTTTATTTCTTTTCCTCTGCCCTATAAACTGAGGGCAATAAACAGCCTCTCTTCCTCTAACTGGCCCACTTGGCACCCGCCCAGGTGATAGGAATGAGCACTACTGCTGTCTGAAAACTCTTTGCTGGCAACTCTACAAAGCGACTGAAGTCTCAGCAAACAATGAATGAGGTTTAGCTGCTCCCAGTCAAAAGTCAGAGGGGGAAGAGCAGAGGGAGGGTTTCCTTCTAAGGATGGGGTGAGTTTAGCCAGTACTAGCTTCAAAAAAGCAAAAGTGGGCACTAAGATTAGAAAGCATTCTGAAGTCTCCTGTGTCAACAAGTTTAGTGAGCTGAATATAGTGCCATTCTAAGTATCATCCCAAGCTTCTTTTAAGAGGCAAAGATTTGATGCCGAACCCAGATAATTTGAGATGTTAGAGATCAGAAGTGGTAAGCTAGCTAACAGGTGACTGAGAGCTGGATGATTACAGCAAGTGCTGATGCTGTGCCGCTGGGGATGAAAGAGCGAAAGGTCTGGTTGCTGGGAGACCCAGACAACCTGCTGGAAGTGGTAACGAGGCCTTCAGGCAACACACCCCAGCTGGCTCTTATCTGCGCCCTGCAAAGGCACACGCAGCCTCTGTTAAGGATGCCAAGCAAAATGGAGTGGAGAATCCTATCATGCAAAGCGGAGGGCAGGGATTTTCTTACAAAGCAGCTTAGAGGTAGCCCGTGACTAAGTGCTTTCAGTTGCGAAAAGATTTCTTTTATTAGCAATAGCAGGGACTGGAAGCTATAGCTTCACTGGAAGCTATAGCTTCGTTTCTTTAAGAGCGTAAGAGGGCTATGATGGGAAAGGAGCAGACACCTCTTGCTGTAAGGCTGAGTGTGCTCCGCTGAGGTGTTTGTACTGACTGTTAAATCGAGATCCCTGGTGCTACAGTCTAATTGGATTTCTGAATCTCCAGGGCAATGGAGTGCACACACAGAAGTTGTGACAGGCATTAGCAGATACTCTGCAAACACAGTAAAACAAGAAGCCTAGCCTATGTAGGAACTTTCTCAAAACTGCAGGGAGAATTTTATTGCTACTGTCTCTGTGAAATACAGCGGTGACAGCAAAGGTGCATTTACAAACCTTTGGCCTGTGACCCCTCCGAGAGGTGGGGGCTCCAGCCGCCCCGGGGGCTGCACGGCTCTGACCCACGCAGCTCAGCGGCAGGGGCAGCCTCGGCTGCATCACTGAGGGGCTGTACGTCTCTGGGGTGGCACCCAGTAAGTCACGCACCAGGCCAGCCCTTGGTTACTTTGTCAAGCAACTTTCAAGCCTGAGATAGCAAGTTAACATTAAGGGGTTAAGCAGGAATAGCAGACATGCTTACCTCATCATAATATTTCACTATGTATCTGTAGATTTCAATCAAGGCCACTTTCTCATTAAATTCATTTTCATGTTTCTACAACAGAAAACAGTTCTGGTCAGATAGTTCTTCTTTTTAACAAAAATTAACATGAAAGCAAATGAAGTTTCGCTTCTCAACCACACCTTAGATTCCTGAGTTAGAAATTCTTCAACCTCTGCAGTGGTCAATGGAGGCAGATCCCTGATGGCTTTATAGTACGCTTTCACCTCCTTCTTGTAGAGTGGAATGTCCTTAGCGTAGAGAAGTTTATTTGTTGGTGCTTCCTTAAAAGAAAATATTTGAAGCCTTGTCAATTTTCACAGCACAGATTTCCTAAGGTTCCACCTCCACATAGTTAATTGCATCTAATTGTGTCTGTTCTCTGTGTGACTCATTTCTCTTTGCAGTGGTTATATGCAAGGAATCAAGGTTATGAAATAAAGATGAAGAACAGACGCAGGACCTCAGTAATAGTGCATTGTGTTTCACGACAGTTGCCATATAATTACTTCTATTGGCATCAGGAGTGATGAACATTTGTCCCTCAGACATATTTTTCTTCCTTACTTCCTCCTCACTGCTCCCCAGACCTGAAAGATTGTGAAAGCTGAACCAAAGGGCTCGAGGCTGATGCCCTATTTACAAACAGGATACAGCAGTGCTGTGAAGTTCCCCTAGGGTAACATGCCAGAGAGCCTTCCTGGCAGAGGTTCCCCTAAAAGTCTTTGGTCCCTACTACTCCTTTTGCTCAGGGGTTCGAGAGCCAAAGGGATTTATTTTTTTCCCCAGGGATTCAACAACCCAGGTCAGCACTGACCTACCAGGCAGCTTTAGGCTCATCCGAGGAAATGAATGCTGATGTTTGTGGTAGGAGCCGAAGCCCCACCTGGAAACCATGTTTTCAGAACGTAAAAGTAGGGGCTGGTAGTTTCCTGTCACTGCTGTAGTTTAAATTCTGGGGAGTAAATGACACAACCATGTGGTGGTATCTTATCACTGCTGTTTCCACTGCGTGATGAAATGATGTAAATGTTTGTTTTCTAAGTGGCTAAAGAATGTTTTAAGATAAAAGGCTAAAAATCATGAAAGTAAATACATTTTAGTACTAAAAGGCCACAAGATGTTTACTGCATTGCAAACCTTTATCAGGTTTCAGCATCCCTTTTCAAATGGCTAATGGGAGCTGTTGTATCAACAGTACTTCACAATGGATGTTAGGCATAGAAACCTAACAGACCATGCTCATTTGCAGTTTTTCCATCAAGCGAGTGATGTGATTAATTTTAATTTGTGACACTTCACTCCTAAAATAAGGTAAATAAGCACTTTATTTGTTATTTACCTTTAACAGATGAGCAGGCGGTTCAGATCACATAGGAAATTAGTCCATTTTTATATAAATTTTTTAATGCTAAAAAATCTCTAGCCTGTTTTTCTTGGTAGTAGGAGCCTGAACAAATGCTTCCTGCTTTGGTCCAAAGAAAGGGAAAATATCCTCGGGAAAAATGAGTATTTCTGATCCCCAGAGTTCTGGACACCGTACTAAAGAGCTTTTGAATGTAAGATTTCTGGACTTGTTACTCCAGCAAATAATTTTGCATATGAAAAGGGAGCAGCTAATACATGTGAAAGGAACTGTTTCAAACTTCAGAGCTCTTTCAAATATTCTTACAGCTCCCAGTAGCTTACTATGTGTACTTTCTGCACATTGGTGTGTGGCAGACAAAATCTGGACTACTTATCAAATAATGTTAATACTTTTAAGACCTTTGTTTAAAAATTCTTTAAACTTCATTAAAATCTTACAATTTCCGTCCTCTTCCACATATTCTATAAACACACTGTGCAGAAACTAACTGCAGAAAAGACAAGCAGCAGTTAACTATAAATATGGCTTTCTAGTAGCTGTATCTGTTTACTCAGTGAATTCTTCAAAGTCTTGTGAGACAGAGCAACAAGGAATGGAAACCCAGCTTAATTAGGCCACTGACAGTTTTGGCCCTGATGTCAGCAGATCCAGGACTTCATCCCCTAAATCATTATACAGTTGAAAAAGACATTGGTTGACAAGTTAACAAAAGACTGGAAGGGCAGCATTACCTTCCCCAGTGTCTGTTCTGCTAGAGAAAAGGCATCCATGAAAGCTTGTGCTATTACAGATAAACAGCCATCTATATGTGAAGTCTTCTTAATATCAAAGACAAATTGGGGATTCTTCAGTATGTTCACCCAGAAGCGAAGAGGAAGACTAGAGAGAGAAAGAACAAGCATCTTTAACCACTCAGGTCGCACAACTGCTTTAAAATGGTAGTTTAATTGCTCTGCAGTCATGGAAAGAAGCGTATTTCTGGGCTGCTTATTCATGTTAAAAAAGGGATCAGGGAACAAAGGCTACAGAGCAAACACATCAGTCAGTCACCCTTCCATCTTCAAATAATGCTCTCAACCTGCAGATACTTCTTTCTGAGTGTGAAGTCAGTATGCAGACTTAGAGGTCCTGGAAGCTATGGTGGTTTGTATCGGTATCCAATCGATATACTAAAATTACTGGGATCCACAAAGCCAAACCACATCTTCAACCAGACATGCCAAAATCTTATTCTTCTGATCGCAGGTGACCTGTTGCATCTTTGCAACTAGATTTTTAGAGAGTGCATGCACTCCTGCGCGTATCATATGGGCATACCTGTTGGTTTTCCATATATGGACCACATCAGGGTCAGTAATTTTTTTGCTCTCAGCCTGGGCATCCAGAAAGTCGAAGAAGTACTTGATGGCAACAGGTGCTTTATTGTTGGGTAAACTCCAAATGCTCCTGAAGAGCTTTTCAACAACTGAATGAATTGCAACCTGAAAAGTAAGAAAATGAACAGTGCTATTATTACACAAGAAAAGACTAGGATTTCTTGTCTCAGAGAGCTGAGCGTGCCCCAAGGCAAGCACACACAGAAACTACAATACGCTTGCGGCAAACATCTAGGCCATAGGTTATTGGCAAACAAGACAGTCAATAACAAAAATTAAACTGCTGCTTTCAAATGTCACATGTCCTATCATTTTACCGACAGGAGAGTTGTGGTGAACTTTGTGATAAATCGTAGGTGGAAGGAATCACTTGTTCCAACAAAGACAACATCAACTTTTCGGATACTGTTGTCACTGTTGCTAAAGGCATCTGGAACTTATGACTGGAAGTAAGAGGGAGGTGAGCAAAAGGAGTTTAACCAGTTTTCTAGGGCACTGGTCTTCATGGTGCCATCTGCGACACACATTGAACACATGTGCTCATTAACATTGCACAGCCAAGCGACTGTGGCGCTTGATCTAATTCTAGGATGCCTTAGGTGGCACATGAAGACACTAATATTAGAGAGAAGATCTGAAAACTGGGTATTTCTGATCCAGAAATGAAGCTATTTGGCTCACAAAAGCAAGCTGGTTGCTGATGGACTCACTGACATCATCACAGACTATTCATAAGTAGAGGCAAACAAAGCAAAACACTGTTTCGTGCTTTTTTTCTTCGCATCTGTTCTGAAGCTCAGTTCAGCTCAATCATCTCTCAATAAGAAGGATTTAAGTATATCCCAGGGCCTTGATGCACTACTGGCCAGTTTCACGTGGCAAACTCTGCAATTGTGTCTGCGTGCGTGTACGGGTGAGAAAGAGACAGGGAGAAAGACATGGTCCAATGCAATTTCCTTTAGTGCACAGCGTATCATGGGTGGCATTTCAGTGAAGGATATCACAGCGCTGTTGTTCAGAGCACTATCCTACTTTGAAGGAGGAGATGATTAATTTAAAGCCCTTTAAAAGGACTGTTTCTTAAGAGCCTAATATTTTCTTTTGTACTTCAGTCTTCCACCGTAAGATATTACTGGTTTACTCCAGCAATTCCTAAGGGCTTATGTTAGTTTCCACAGCTAATGAGAAATGACCAGTCTTCATTCTCACTTTGGGTAGAGTCCCAAATTACTTCAGATGCTATCAACAATCTAATTAAATAATGACTGACAGATTTTTAAATGCACGGAGGCCATAATCATCATCCCTTCAGGCCTCTTGTATCGCACAGCTCTCAGTGTTGTGCACTGATTAATAGTTTAAGTAATATGCTGTTGCAAAGAGTTTTATAACCCTTTTGCGCAAGTCAGAAGCAAGATGACATTACCAGAGGGAGTGAGCAGGGCTTATTCCTAAGGAATGCGCATTATATAAATTAGGTAATCGTATTATAAATCCTAAGGACCTTGTTTTTAAAATTAATCTGGTTATTTTGGATGCTTAATTTGAGACCCTAAAAGATTATTCCATCTCACGGGCAGTATTTTGTGAAACTCAGGCCTTGGAAGTTATCTCTAAGTTGGGCAAACTCCAGTAGAGAGTGAGGAGATTGTTGACTGAAAGCTGTCTCTCCAGAAGGGATCGTTCTCGCTCTGTGGGACTCAGTGGCAAAACTCACTTTCTATAAGCTCAATAACTACCTTTTTTCTTTAACCTGAGAAAAAAGGTTGTGCTTACTGAGGAGATAGAGAGTGTGAGTAATAGACAATTCTAGAACTCTAGCATTAGAAAATCTGAAATGTGTCCATCTTTGCAAATGGTCACAATCCATAGTTAGCATAATGATTTTTATAGGCTACCTTTTTATTTTATTTATACCTGCATGTGTATTTAACATTTGATACACATGCACAAGTCTACATAATTTCTGCTTTAATTTCTATTTCTGTTGTGCCAAACTAGCCAAGTCTAACATCAGCCCTCCCCCCAAATAAGGCCTTTACAGTTTACCTTGGTTGACAGAAGCTTTGTCAGATACATTTCTTTCACTTTGAATTTTTGCTTTCCTTTGTGACCTGCTCCTTTTACATCTTTGTTTGCTTCAGAGTCTGGTAAAATCTGTCGTGAAGAGATTAGAGAGATTACACAGATACAAATACAACTCAGTATTACATCTACCATTTAACAGCGTAATGACTGAACTCACCAAATGACAGTGTTCATCCGAGTAGTCCACATCTAAACAACAGAAAGCAGAGAGCAAACAGGCATTAATGAAACACACAGCTATAAGCTTGTGAATTCTGCTGTGCTCTGGGCTGTGCAGCAGGGTGCACGCCAGTGTGCTGAGCAAGCAGGCTCGGCATCACGCTTTCCTGCCTGCAGTGTGGGGGAAGCCTCTGAGAAATGCACAGGTCCTGGCTCACCTCCCCAGTGCCAACCTGTAGCTCGGACCATTAAGCTAGGGCATCATCATCTGCTGCTGGGGTAAGCGGGCAGCAAATCGCAGCTCCTCTGACAGGAGGACAACAGACAGCAGATGAGATGATTGCATTAGTCTCTAAGAGTACTCAGTGCAGGAGGGCTGAGGTCAGGTTTGAAAGCAATGGTTGAGAACAGGCAACCCTGTTCTTGCTGAGGGAGAGAGCAATGCCAACCCAGTGATTTGCACCTCAGGGACACATCTCTCTTAACTTTAGATGTCCCCTTTGATGGTGGGGTGAATCACACACTAGGAGTGTCTGTTTCTGCCCAGGGGCTACAGAAAGTCCACCTCCCCTGAGCCACCAGCTGGGGTGGAGCAACCTGCATCACAGGGGTAGATGAGATGAACTGACCCCTTGTAAGTACCCTTTAACTCCCGACCTGCTGTTGAGACTGCCGAGCCAAAGCTTTCAGAAACACAGTCAAGAGAACAAGGAAAGTTCCAAAACTGCGTTTTTTTGTTATGCCTGTCTCTGGACAGTGCACCACTATGTCTGTGATGCACAATGCCAGGCACCAGAGCAGGGCATGTTCCCTGCGCTGGTCTCACCAGTCAGCACTTTGTGTCACCCGGGCCGGGCTCCCCTGCCCTGCTTTCCTGCCTATGAGTCTGTATCTTTAAGCTGTATCTTTATTTGCTGAGGACTGTAAGTCCTTCTGTCCTTCTTTCCTTTGCCTTCTTCCCTCCTCCTAGGCCCACTGTGCCTGCCAGAGGCCCAGAGCCAGGGTAACATGGCTCTTCATTTTGCTCAGCTATATCAAAGTGCCAATTTTTCTGACCTCCTATGGACCAAGATACAACCTGTCATAGCTCAGGTCTCTGCACTCCCAGCCCATCCTCCACAAAAGATTAAATAGGTTGCAGTTCCTTTGTTACCTGATCGGGTATTTGCTTTCTTTTTAAAGACTTTTATGGTTGCTCCATTGGAAATCTGAAAGCAAAAGCAAACATATCATCTGAAACAGAAGTGTCTAGAATTCACGACACCCTCAGTTTCATTTCCTCTGTCCTTAAGTCCGTGCAGCGCAGGAGCGTGCCAGCCCGCTTTGTTCTCACCACGCTGTGCACGGCTCTCAGCAGGCAGCCAGGGCTGGGCTTTCAGGCAGGGGCAGCAGTTGCAGTTTGTTAGCCTTACCTGGCAAGGTGGGAAGGCAGCTCTTCCAACAAACCGGCCTTTAAGACCTTTCCCTTTCTTTGATTTTTCTGATTCATCCCCTGTTTGGACATTTTCATGTACTGCTTTGTGCTGCTTCTTGCACCCATCTTTCTACAGATTGCCCAGGTTGAATTCTCTGGCTCCAATGCAACAGGATCTTACGGGAAGGTGAGGCAGGGAGGGGAACACATGGATGATTTCTCTTCTGGTCCCCTTTCTTCCAGCTCAGTCCATTCCCCCCATGCCCTATGGAGGGGCCATGTTGAGGGGCCATGTTGAGGGGCCATGCTCCCAAGAACTATTTTCAAACTGAGCAAAATATTTATGCCCCGTGGACCATAAGGTCAAGATCCACATCTAGCTACCTTGGGATTTCTAGGGAAAATCTCCCCCCCTCCTTCCCTGAATTCATAGTGCTGCCAGGATAGTAACTATTATCTTTAAAAGAAACTGGAAAGTCATGCTTTTATTGTCAAAGAGTAACTCAAAACCAGCTCCTACTGAGAACTACACCACTGCTCTACTGTCAAATGCTGGGTCTTGCCAAGTGCTAGTGTACTTCCCTCTATAATTACAAAAACAACTGGCCAGTTCTAGGAAGGGATCTCTGCCAAAATAATTTAAGTGTTTTTTAAACCTTGGCAGCCAGCCTGGTGTGAGAAACCAGTTTAAACATTAAGATACTCTATCAAAAGCTGTGTCTTGTGCCAAAGAAAAAGGCACTTACACTTGCTCCTGAAAAGTAAATGCAATCTCTTTTATAAGTATGATTTTTTGCAGGGTTTCCATTTATCATACAGTGTTACAGAGCTCTTTCAGATAACACAGAGCACTTTAAAACCACACTACAAGTGGGAATATGCTCTAAGGCTAGCTTGTGAGGTGACACAAACACCCAGAGAGTCCTCCTACTTGGCCCTGAAGATAGGTAAACAGGAACAGGGCTACCCAGAGCGGCGTGGGCAATACGCTGCCTCCACTTCCTCTCCAAGAAGCAGGAGAGCAGCTCAGTGCTGAAATGTGTTGGCTCCTGTCCTGAGGGAGACGGGCAGAGCTCGGAGGGAGAACCGTGCTTCCCTCCAAGAACCAGAGGCGCTGCTGCAGTGCAGCCATGATCTAAGCCCCCAGTTCAGGTTTTATTTCTGGGACAAATGATGCTTTTAGCATTTGGTGGAATATGCCTTCCCTTCTTTATCATTACTGCAGCAGCCATACTTGCTGTTTCTTTCAGTGTGATCCAACAAAAAAAAAACATAAGCCCTTCTTTTTGTGTCCTACTGCCTAAATCACTTTTCAGTCACTGCTCCCACGGGCACCTCAAAACATCTTTACTTTGTCAGGTGTGCTACTGAGGGGGACAAACAGGGAGAGGGGAGATCTGTTCAGATCCATACAACATGGAGTACAGCTATTTTGCAAAACAGAAGATGTAGTAGTGTGGCTCTATGCCTCTTCCTTCTTCTCCAGGCCTCCTGTCCTCCCTATAATCCAGTTTTTGTCAGTGAGCTCCCTGGATCACACACTCAGATTCGCTCTCTGGGGCTGTGCCTGCTCCTGGAATGTGCGGTGCTGCTACAGGTTGAGAAATTGGAGATCTGTGACTGGACAGCAGATCTGAAAGTGGTTCTCTAGCTCTCTTCTTGCATGGGAAATAGAACATCATGATAATCAGCAACTTTCTTGTCAAGGCTTGTGGTTATTCTCATGCAAACGATAGTGCAGACCTCATAAATAATCACATCCATAACCCTACTAGGAGCAAAAAATTAGAGCAAACGGAGCACCCAAGTCGGAGACACATGAAAGTCTAATAAGAGTGCAGTGGATTTTTTTCCTTTCAGAAACACCACACAAAAATGCAAACATCCCCTACTTGCACATTTTAAAAATCAGTGCAGAAACTAAGTCAAGAGTGACTGGTGATTTTGGGACCTTTACAACACAACCCTCATGCTCCAGTACCTTAAAAAGATTTGACGGTACTTCCCAGTTTCAAAGATCTGGTTACTTTCTACCATTTAAGGCTGGCAAACAAAAAGAAAAATTCAGGCTTGCCACAAAACTCTAGGCATTGTTGAAATGTAAGTTAGAATTCCTCAGGCAACATTACTACCCTCGCATGGTGTATGCAGTGTTCCTTTTTCTTGCTAACTAGACACCTTTACATTCCTTTTTCCATTAAAATGCATACAAGAAAATAAACTAGATATGGTAATGGCTGATACTTGCCACTAAGCCACTGCCTAAAATGCCACTAAGCTTCTGCTTAAAACGTACATTATTTTGTCAGTTTCAGAAAAAGTGAACTAAAATATCTAACAGAGATACCCAGCACAATTTCCATAAGGCAGCTGCTAAGCTATAATTAGTGTAGTTACAGCTTTGCAAAAACAACTGAACCTCCAACCTAACTTGCATTTGCCTGCAGAAACCTCAGGCAAAAACAAGGGCTGGGACAAAGATACCCAGGGATGACAGTGACCAACTGGAGCAGACTCATGTGCCATGAGGTATGGCACCCATGAGCCACGGCATGCCATGAGCTCAGGAAGGACAAAAAGCTGCCAGGTAAAATCAGGAAGCACTTGCAACAGCTGCCTGCAGTAAAGAGGGCGGGTACTATCACATTAGACAGAAGTTCAAATATCTAATCAGATTCAAATCTACATTGACCTTTGCTGCACAGACTCTGACTGCAACACTACAATGTCCTAATTTGTACAAAATCTTTACAAGCGGAGTGGAGGAAGTCCCACGTTAATCTATAGGCAAGATTCAAGAGAGGCACAGGAAAAGCTGTATTTAAGACACTGGACGGTGACTCAGGACATCTGGGTTCACTGCTACCTCCCCAGGAGGTAAGGAGAGCAACAAACGCCTACAGAAATCTGTAAAGTGACTCCAAATGAGCTTGCTTCAGATCTGTGCAGCCTTGTGCTGCGCCCAAGCTACAAATAGTCCTGCTAGGAGCCCTTGTTCCTCTCTGTGGATGGCACTGTATTTGCTCATGCAGACAGCAACGTGTTCAGGGCTGGCTCAGGTTTCTCAGCACCAGACTGCGTTGCACAGCACAGACCTACGCTCATCAGCAAAACTTCTAAATAAATAAAGATTTTTTATCATGTTAAGAGCCAGACTTTCAAATTTAAGAAGGTATGAAGAAAGCTCACTAACGCACTCAGCATACTAACCTCATTTCCAATATCTATCTGTAAGCATCAAAATGTGAGCTACCATACCACCTGAGGCCAATCATCTGTTGCGCATTTTACCCCAGCCCCTCACCCTCTATTTCGACTGGTGTCAGTGAAAATTCCTTAGCCAGGCAATGCTGCTTGCTATGCTTTTGCAATGTGCTACACCCAGAAGGGCTCTGCCACCAGTTGCAGCCTTATGTGTTGTTGCAATGATGGACAGATTATTGCAGCATTGAAAATGACTGGTTTACAGGTGCAATTGGAAGCGGAGGGGAAAACTTACAGTACAAGTGGCGACAGTAGATGGAAGCAGAAATAGAGAGAAAAAGGGAAGGAGACTGACATAGGGAGAAGAGCAAGCAGACTCATCGGTCCTTTTTATTCTGATTCTCAATGAGCTTTCACAAGTATCACTACCGCCTGTTCAGATAATCAAAATATGAGGTGAGAAGAGGTAAACAATTGCTCATGGTGCAACCAAAACTCAGCAGCAGAGACTAGAAAAGACTCAAGGCAATGTTCATAGCTGGAAATCAGATGCTGTTTTAACTGAAATGTTCAACAGAAGTAACAGTTTACCTGGTATGCTTGAACCAAGCAACCCTGCAACAAGCAAACCTCTGAAAAGTAACAGAAAACATATGACTTATTGGCAAGAAAGTTGTGTGTCACACTTCTTTCCTTCTGTTTGATGATGCTCAGCTATCTCTTCAAGATTTTGATCAATCAAGATATTTCTGTGCAGACAGCATTGGGGAGTTGGGGAGAAACTGCTTCTCGATTCATTGGTATGGCTTCCTTGCTTACCTCATAATGACCGATGGTATTTAGCTTCCTTATCCCATCCTCCATCACCTCTGAGGAACCATCAATATCTAACAATTCTCTTTGCTGCTCCTCAGACACAAGTTCTGCAGTATGACAGCAACAGAAAACAATTACATCCCAATGGCATTCTCACTGTACAGGTGTTTGTAAAGAAAAACAACACCTAATTTATTTTTGGGCCAGTGGCTCCCAACTGAGCTGTTTCTCTCTGTCCTTGTACTAGGTCACATGAGTGTGGTTTTGCACTCCCACACTACACCTTCCTTTTCCGTGGTGACATCCTGGGTGGCTTCCATTACTGCAGGCTACTGATGTCTCACTTTGTGCTGGTCAAGGCAGAGTTTTTGGAGATGCTTTCACCTAATCTAGCTATTCTGTTGCACAAGTGTGCCCTCGTGTTATGGCCACGTTGGGACTAGAAGAAATGTTTCACAAGCCACTTCTAAGAGATCACTAAAATGAGCTGGACAAGACTGACATAGTATTGTGAAGGGTGATCAGGCACTGGTGGTGGATATAAACATCAGCTATGAAAACCCAACAAGCAAAGGTGGCTCGAATCATCTGCTGGAATGGCCTTATTTACATCTGTAGATATTGTACGTATCTTTGTGAGTCACATGCAAACTATTATATAAACCTAATCTGACTGTAAATAAACTATATTTGTGAGTTCTCCTGATCAAGGGAAATGTAGGCCTGTTGGAAGGAAGGGTGGTAGGAAGGATAGTAGGTAGGGACTTAATTACTTGGTAATCATGATGCGTCATCTTACCCGCTGACAAAATTTATCAACCAGCTGTACTTAGGTGGAGGGCCACCTTACTTAACCCAGAAAAGGAACATTTAAATTATATGTGTTCAATAAATAACATCTGTTTGTTAACTGCATGCTGAAGTCCTTGCAGAAGCGAAGCAGATGTAGTTCCCATGTTCCAACTAGTAGCATAAATGATCTAGTATTTCCCTAGAAATTCCTTACAAAAGCTATGTTCTGCCTAAATGCTAAAAAAAATCAAAGCCAAAGGTAGGAATTCCTAACAAGAAAACTCCACCGACAGAGCAGTGAACTCCTTGAAAATATAACACAGTGACACTCTCTTACCAAGACCAATTTCATCCAGCTGAAGACCATAGAGAAAGCCATTCTTATTAAGGAAAGCCTGAAGGCTCTTCTCCTTGGCTTGGCCTATGGTGTCGCAGTCCAGAACATTAACTTGGATAGTTTGACAGGCATCTCCACTCTCATTTTCTGGGATTTTTTCAAAGATAATGTTCACTGTCTGGGGAAAGAAACACATGTTATTCTGACTTACAGCGAACACCTGGCATGGGAAACCTACAAACTCCTGACAGCAAAACTGAGAGATTTTCGGCATATTTATTATTGAAGCTATTTCAAATAAAGATTATTTGAAGCAATTACCCAATGAAGCATTCAGAATTCCTCGTGTCCAAAGAATCAAAGATATATAACTATATATTTCCAAAAGTGTATTTTGTATTCTGCTTTTGTGCAAATCTATTTCAGTGAATTACCAAAAAAAGACAGGAGACCCAGAAAAATTACAATGCATGTTCTAGAAAAAGCAGATCTTTTATTTGAAACGAATGCCTTAAAAACAAAACTGTAAGCGACTAGAGATCTGATAAGGTTGCTAAGTAAGTCGTCATGGTAAGTATGATTATTTTCAGTGGATAGGAAGCAGTGTTAAAAAGTGTATTTAAGCCAGCAGATTATGCTGAGTAACTTGTATCACACAAAAAAATACACCTTCCCTGGAGATGTCAGTGTCTATCTGCGTACAGCCATGTCTCTAGAGGCAGAAGAGACAGGGCTACCACAGAAGCAGTGGAAAGGAAAAGCATGCTGCAGCAGACAAACCCCAAAGTGGTCCAGATCTGCACAGAAAAGTGTGATTTATTCTATTAGTTATTACTCCAGGTCAAACACCCACACAACCTGTCCAGTTACAACACCCCTGCCCTTTAGCTCATGGCTACTCTTAGTTGGGACACAACTCATCTGCTGGGCTGCACACAAGGTGAGTATGCACTAGAGGGACGTGCCAATAAGACTGGGTGACCATCTCCAGGGAATGTTTTTAGTCAGGTCGTATTGCTGATCAGGTCAGGCAGATCAACTGCTTCCAAAAGGCAGGGAAAAGGGATGAGCACAGGATTGCTAATGCCAAGTGATAACAGCACTCATTTCCAGTGCCGTAGGCTGCTCCTTGCAGAGACATCACTGTTCAGCTACATGGATACAGACATTCTGCTGCAGGTGTCTTGGGACAGAATTAAAACAAGTGTTTTAGGTGCCAGCACTTGACTGCAGGTGGCATGGGAAAATATGTAAGCATATGTACTTGAACCATTCTGGCTGTTGGACATTTCTGTTATAATACATATCTTTTGACTGACATGTGAGCACTGCAGGTGTGACTCAGAGAAGGAGTGATCGTTAAAAGAGGAAGCAACTAAAGAATTTTTTTTTCCCTGCTGTCATGTGAAGGAAAGAACTTCTGTCCAGGTTGCTGCAGGGACAACTTTTCTCTCTTCTTAGAAAAATGGGTAGTTATTAATAGCTGTAGAATGCTATTTTCTGCTTTCCTACAAGCAAGAGTGGAAATTACAACTGGTGGTGAAAAGAAGTAGTCCAATGAAACATAAATTAACTTTACTGTTTCTACAGAAGCAAATGGTGTATTAAAAACGGGGTTGCAAAACTATGAAGAAGACTAGGATGTAACTGAAGTAACTAAGAATAACTTAATCAGGAAACCAAGATGTTTAATTGTGAGGAAAATGAGTCCATGGAAAGGACAGACGGAATGGAAGAGGAGGAGATACGGGAACGGTGCCTGCAGAAGGAGAAGCAGACTGGATGCCATGCCTTAGGTTGGGATTTCATGCGGAAAATTAGTAAAAAATGTATTGGCACAGGAACGAGGGAGTCATGCTTGGTTAGGCCCACAGACCAACTGAACAGACAGCAGTCCTGTCCTTGACTTTGATTGCCCTGAGGTCATGGTCTTTTAGGATAAAAATGTGGACAGGGACTAACTGTTATTTTGTCTTTGGAAAACTCATTTTAATAAAAGTCTTTGTCTCTTCTAGTCTCTGAACTGATCTTTCTGGAGTAGCTACTCACACTTTAACTGATGTTGATTTGTCTTTACATCCTTGGAAGCATTCCTTCCTTTAGCTGATCCTCTCCTCCTAACATTATTCCTACACTGCAATATTCATGTTCTGCTTCTCCTTCATTTCCTCTTCCTTTCAGACTGTCAACAGAAACTGTCTTTTTCTCTGCGGCATTTCCTTTTCAGCACATGCTCTCACACAGACTGCACATAAATGTGCAGTCTCTTCAGTTATTAGCATGCGAGAGTTCTCCCATCCCCACTCAACTCACTGCAGGATGACAGGACTGTAAAAAGAGAGTAGTAGTCCTTTATGTAGCTGGAATACAAGTCATTTATGGGCTTCTTGATTGAAAGTATCTGCAATGTGAGGATAATAACAACACTTTACGACTCAAAGAAGTGGTCAGATGTGAAGAAATATTTAAACGCATAGAAGTCTCTAAACCAAGAGAGCCAGACAGTTTTGCTAGTATGATTTCCTGCAGAAGTTAATCTTAAGTGATGAAGCAATTGATGGGGAGCTAGGAAAGCCAATTATTACGATGTCTTCCCTCCATAGCTGAAGTTTTCATAAATCAGATTCAACATGTCTGATAGCACAATCCCTGGCTTTAGAAACCATTAATGAGAAGCTGACAGTCACAATCACTGCATTTAGACACTAAGTGTAGAACTGGAAAAAGAATCAGAAATGACTGTAAAATTATGAAAGCCCTTATATGATCAGCTCTGAAAGTCAGAAAACATTTAAGAGAAATCACAGGAGGACACATGGAAGTCACAAGGAAATATCATGAGACCCTTTTCTAAGCTCTCTCACTTTGCAAAGGAAACTTTTGAAAGATTCAGGAGGAAATTACAGGACATGTGGTTCAACCTAGTAATATCTAGAGTTGAGACTTCATGCACTAGAAATTAGTGATTAGCAACACAAAGTCACAGTGCTCTTCAGCAAAGGCTCAACACAGGTTGCAAGAATTCTTGAAGGCTACTTAAGGAGAACAAGGCCAGCATCTGCAACTACTTGTATAGGAACTAGCTTGGAACCTAGCTAAAAGACAGGAACAGATTTTAAAAACATTTTTTCACTCATGCAGTGACAGAAATAGTGACATTTGAAGACAATGTTTACAGATGGTTTTTCAGATTTGTAGTTTTCTTGAAAATTAATTTCAAACATTGAATTATTTAGTAAAGCTATTAATAACCATAGCAGATAATAAATGAGGTGTGGCTTAATAAAGAAATGTGATAATACCGTATTTTCTTAGAAGTAAAGAAAAATCATCTCGTCTCTTATATTCAAGGGCTCTTATTCATTACCCTGTTCTCTATTCAGCTATGCATCTGAACAAAGTGTATTTCCATTTATAGACAGACTGAAAAAACAAGAAAAACTTTTGAATGGTAAAAGTTAGAGCATTTATGTAAAGGAGACAGCACCATGATGTACAGCACAACGAAATTGCCTTAAACCTACTCCCCTGCCTCCCAGACTATGAAATATAATAAACAGGAAAAATCGGATTGATTGTATGATCCTTCTGCCGCAGCCAGAACAGTTACCCATGAAGGGGTTATAGAACAGCTAACAAATTGGCACAGAAAATGCTACGGGAGTTAAATTTAGGCTAGATGGGCACTACACGAAGCAAGGGTTGTACTCTCGATGCTACAGTATGGTACTCAATCTGTGTCTAATTCAGAAGACTCTCCTGTAGCCAACATCTGCACTTCTCACTTCCTAGCAAGGGCTGTTGTGTCCTTTTCTGCTGACAAAAATCCCCATATGTCACATGCTTTTAATAGCTTCCTTATCTCTCACAAAGTGTGCCTAATAATACCACAACCATGGTGTCTTATTAGGAAATTGGGCTCCCTGTCTCTGCTTTACTCCCTTACAGCCCTCCCACTTCTTTTAACACCCTTCTTTTAACTGGTAAAGCAGTTGAACACTTTAAACAACCTTCCACCATGTGGCCTTGCTTTGCTTTCAATAAAAGGCTGTTGGCTGAACAGGTGAATGAGATAATTTCCTCCCATCTAAAAATGCAAACTCATTTCAGCAAACAACTCAACAGCCCAAATACCTTTTGTAAAATAAGCAGTGACTATTCAAAAGAATGCCGGAGCACCAAGTCTACCACATGAAGAAGTCTCCCCTGGTTTTCCACGCGAAAAATTCCACAGAGAACTTCTCCCATGCCAGGCTGGCATTGTGTAGCTTTTCTATTCAAAATGAAACACTTCAGTGAAATGCTAACACTCAGCTGTGCATCGCTCTTCTTCATCAGTCATTGAGCAAATTATCCACCGAGGGGTGCAGCTGCTTGTCTGCCTGTGAGAAAGCAGGCTTGCTTCTTCAGCCTGTGAAAAGGCTCCACGACACATCCAAGTCTCTTTCAAGGCAGTTTTATTTCTCAATACTCAAATATAAGCACAGCGTGAAACCACACAGCTCCTCAGCTCATACTGGACCAGTGCTTTCAGAAGTATGTTTCCTTCAATTCCTCTGCTTGAGTATTTACTTCAGCAGCCCATCTCTGTTCAATATCTAACCCTTTCCAGCAGAGAGGGGTAACAGTAGGGGGTTGGCTGGTCCCAAGGTCCATGGCCTTATTGAAAAAGGCATGGAGCCCAGCCAAGGGACAGCTCTAATACAATTCAAAACCAACATGTTTCTTAGTTCTCTTTTTTTCCTATTACAAATGACCTGAATTTTAGAAAATCTCTCCCATCCTTCCTTCTTTCTCTATGTTTCTTCCTTCTGCCCCAAGAGTTTATCTGCACAGTGGTGTGTTTAGGAGAAGACCTGTGGAACTCCCCCTGATATTTAGGAGCCTGTCTGTATCCTGCTTTTATTAGTTTGGAACTGCAGTCCCAGTCCTGAAAGGAGAGATTCGCATGCAGAGTGCCTACACCCTTGTTTGTGCCCTGCCACTGATTTGAGAGTTTAACTCCCTACCAGATGCATCCCTGCATCTTCAAGTGTCTACACTTAAAAATCTGGACACCGAGTGTCTGCAGATGTGCTTCAGTATCTTTCTATCACCCTCTTTTTGGCTGTGTTTTTATACTTTGCTCTGGACAGGTAGGTTTTAATGTACTGCTATTGTGAGGCTGTGGAAAGGGGCAAAATAAAATACCAACAGAATACTGCAAGACTCAGAATATAACTGCAGTGAGCAAATGTGCAAATGCATTTGAAAACTCAGCTCAGAATTTATTCCATTTAGAAAACAAAACCTGCAATCCTTTAGGCAGAAATTTTCTTCCAAAGAAAGGAGAAAATACTTGGTTCCCTGTCTGTATGCTCACAGGTCCTGCATGTCATTGCACTGCATGTGAAGCAGCGTTAGTGAGAGAAGAAAAGCTGACTCCTTCCACTTTCGCATCCTGTTAAATGCTATTCTTGAAGAGAAAATGTGCACAGCTTGCCTGCTTCCCCAGCCCAGAAAGCCTCGCTGTACCACCTAAATCTCTTTCACAGCACAGTTTTAGTTTCCAGCGTAAATCTTAGACAAAACACCAAACAAAACTGTTTCCCTGTCCAGCCAGAACTAGAGTCCTTGGGCTCCATCTCTCCAATTTTACTGCAGGATCCTCTCTCCTTTTCTGATGGTTTTAAATGGAACATTCAGCCCCTTCTCAACTAAGTCCAATAAACTGCTGGACCTTAGCGGGGAAAGCTGACTTATTAAGCCTATAACAGTATCATTATCTCCTACTTAAAAGCAGGAATACAAAGTACAAAGGCAGCAAACAACGTTCGAGAAAGGCTATCTGCTCTCTCACTTCCTTGCCTGTTCACAGACAGCCTTCCCCACTGATACGGAGTCCTTCAGACCACTTCCCCTCTCTCCCCTTCACTGCAGGCTGCCCACAAGACCCTATCAGCGACTGCATGCATAGAAGTAGCACTAGGAAAAGTATTTAAGGCAGTTTCAGAGTCAGCTATCCCCACAAGGTGCTCTCAATTTGAATTTGTGCTATAAATAAGAAAAGTCAATCAATTCCACAGGACCAGATGTTCCTGCGCAGTCTAGTAGTAACAGGCATATTGAGCTTGCTTGAAAATTGTTGCTCTGCGTAACTACTGGGTTTTGTATCCTATGGCTATATATAGCAATATATTTAAACTTATCCTGGATCCCAAATGCATGCCAGAATGCAGCGCACAAACAAGGAAACCAAAGATGCGGTATTACGCGTTTAATTTTTAGTCACAAACTTCCTTTCCAAATGCACACTGTGGTAATTTAGCTTGAAGCACCTTCAGATGAAGCTTCCAACAACAGCTTTTTAAATAGCTGTAAGAAGACTTGACTATAAATTTGTCAGTCCAAGAGCTTTCAGCAGAAAATGACAGTTCAGAAATGTTTCACAGAAAGGTTGTCATTTCAGTAAGCTTCCTACGTGACCCCGTGAGTTAAGTCCAATGGACTGCTGACCAGCCAAAATTTCCAGGGTCATGTAGTCTACTCCAGTATGTGGCATCTTAGGACCTTCAGGTTCTTGCTGCAAAACTGGAAGATGGGCAGACCTGGAAGCTCCAGCCCTACCTGAGCTCAGGATATGGGCTCTGAAGCGGACTGAATTCTCCTTCAAAGCCACCAGCACTTGCAGTGTCCCTGCCATGGCAGTTGCTGCCCTGGCAGTTTCTGCTCCCAAGCTCTGAAGCCCGCTATTCGGCCGCACTTTTCATACTCCTAAGTATGCCTGGTAACTCCGACAGGAAGCCAGGAGTTCAGAAACAAGGAAGCTATGGAAAAGACTGGAAAAGCAGATTTTTAAGTTCTCACACTCAAAATCACTTGGAAATTCTGGAAAAAAAGTGCTCTGGTTACCCTGAAAACCTTTTTCAGACCTCCTACTCAAAAAGTCACAATTTTTACATGCTCCAAAGTGCAATAATCCTTGCTGTCCCTTCTCCCCTCAGTGTCAGAATGACAATCAGTAAGGGAATTCCAGCTTTCAAAGAATTCTGGGTGTAACTGTAAAATAGGAAGCACTTTGTAGTTGCTTTGAGAAAGGCAAGAAACCTATGGTAAAGTTCAGAAACTTAGCTAGGCTTCCCAGATACCTTGTTTTTAACCAGGCAACTAATTAGAATCCACCACGCTGTGGCCTTACTAATTTGGAGCTAATTTGGAGCTAATAACATGGAAATCCACAGAAAATTATTGCTGCCTGAAGATCAGCCACAAGTAAACACAATAGAAAAATAAAACCTCTGCGTTCCATTCTCTCCTTCATTAGAAAAGTGTAATTTAGTTTAAATTCTAAGCATATGTTTATGTTTTTGTAGTACACTTTAAAAGAAGAAGGAATTTTAATACCCTGAGACTTCATTAAGCCTAACCTTTGGAGATTAAGGAGCAAGGAGTGAGTGCTATTTGTGAAATGTATATTGGTGAAATACCAGCTAGTTTAACTGTACTGCATTTTGAAACTTTGTCAGCAATAACAATTTTATTATCTGGGTACTTAACCACCACCTTAGTGTCTAAGAGCTTTAATTCAGCTTCCTAGAAAAAGAGGAAACATTGTAGTTGTCCATGTTTGGAGGGAACACAAACTGGCAAACATACCACTGTTTTGAATTCAGACACTTGCCACAGCAGCCAGTCTTCATTAAGTGTGTACAGGGCTTTGCAAGTTATCGCGTCAACAGGTCCTTTGTTTATCCTCTGATTGAGGGTTGTCACTAGCAAATAGAAAGGTTCACCAATTGTCTCCTAGGACATGAAACAAACGCATGGAACATGTTTATTTTTGTAAGCATTAAATGGGCATGAATAACTAGAAAAAATCAAGTGTAACAAATTATTTCCTTTTAACTAACGTGTTATCTTGCAATTAGAAAAGAAAATCCCTCTGAGCAGATTTATCTGCTTATTTGTTTAACCTCCATCCTTTGCTTTTCAGTGTGAAAGTCTCATGCAAATAGCAAGGGACAGCTGGAGTGTGTGGCAAGATAGCTCACAGCCCCTTGCTGTGCACAAGCACACTACAGACAAGCTGCTCCTACTCCACCTGGCAGATGCTTCCTAGTTCCACCAAAGAGCGGGTGGGGGGTGAGACGCGCATGTGTTCACACACATACTTCAGCTATTTCTTCCTTTTTCAGTCTTGTAAGAAAACAAGCTAACAACTAGTTTCCTTTTGAATTGGCGTCTCCCCTTGTCCCTGAAAAAAAGCCTTGGGAGCAAGGTGGTGGGACACACTGGTGTATCAGTGAAAAAGGGAATGAAACTGGGGCTTCCCTCTCCTGCCTGAACCCCAGGCTTCAGGAAAGCACCTGAGAAAGGAAGGATGGATCTTTGTTTCCATGTGACACGATTCCTGCAGCCTGGCTAAGGCATCTCACTAGCACAACTCTGTAAAGATGACTGGTGTATCGAGAACAGATCTCTGACAGTTCCTTGGCTCTCTCCTGGAGTTTCAGGAAACTGGTGCGAGCTGCTGAGCCTCAAACAATTCTGCTGCTGTATTAATGCAAGGACTGATATGAGTGATACCAACAATGCGATGCCATCACACCGGTAAGAGAGACAGGAAGCATAACCAAGCACTGAAACCAAGAACGAAGTGCTATCAAGTACGCTAAAATAAACAAACAGTAAAATGAAAGAAAATGCTTATTTTGTTGCCACTTGAAGTCATTTAGTTCTTGAAATCTGCAATGCTGTTTGGAGGTTAAAAAGTTTGGAAAGTAGTTTTGTTTTCCAAAAGACAGTATTCCTTAAATCTCCATTATGCGGTAGCTTTCCAATAGCTTGCATAGAAAGGTACAGCTGCATTTTAATAAGCGTGTCAGTCTTTTAGTGTGACCACAATACATCTCATGGAGATGAAATAACATCTGACACGAGAAAAGAATATGCTAGAATTGCAAAATTATGCAAATCTCAGCCAAATAAATTACATGATCATCGCTTACAGACGCGCTCTTTTCCTACGTCCCATTGATGATAGCTAGCCAAGTCACCTAAACTAGAAGAGCGCACATTAATAATGTTGAATGTTAGACTGCATGCTTTAAACTGATCCCTCTAACAATTCCTGTGGAAGAAATCAGTTTAAAAAATTATCTGCATATCTTACATAGTGAAAAGATGTACACGTACCCGGAGAAATCCAGAAAGGCAGACAGACATCCAGTTTGTCAGCAATTTTTCTACCACGGATTCAGTTCGTCTGAGCAGGAGCTTAGGCTGTACATTGCTTGATTGCTCCATCAAGTCCTTTGTCAACACTTCCAAAATATGGGTTAGATAAACTAGCTTAGTTTGTAGTGCAATAGTCAAGAAGGATGCAAACAAGCACCTGTTAAAAAAAAAAAAAAAAAAAAGAACGCTATAATATTTGGAATTTCTCTTCCCAGTCATCTTTAATAAATGAAACACACTTTAGTGCAGTTCATATCCTAAGTTTTCCCTCCTCAGGCACAGAAACTGTCCACTGATCTCTACAAAGATATAAAAAATGCAAGTCCATCTGCTCTTGTGATTATTTTTTAAACACAGAATTTGTGTCTCTAAATTTAATTCTGCAGAACAATACCTGCTTCAGTGACAGAACATTTCTAAACTGTAGAACTGTTGATCTAACTGCAGGAAGTGTTTACAGTTTTGAAGTGAGTTTTCCTGCTCCTTTGCCTCTTTGTTTACATGTAGAAACATTCTGATTTCTCTTTAATGGCTTGTTTTAATGGCAATGTTTTTTCTTCCTCAGTGTGTGCAGATGGAGAAGATGGAAAAATGCTCTGGAGTAATGCAAGTTTGTTTTGCAAGAAGCAGAAATTACATTTGCGTGCTACAATCCATGTTGTTTTTTCTTGCTAATTCTTTGTCTTGAAGATGATAAGCATAATCATACTATACCTGTCTTTCACAGAGAAATTTTTCTGCTTTTCAAGGGTGTGAATGAGAGTAACAAGAAAGTTCTTGTTACAAATTAAAGCATGCAACATGTTGAAGCTTTCATCCTTGCTCGTTTGGTCTCTGCTCTGGAATAGTTAAACAAAAACAAGCAAACTGTAGTTTGGCTATGATGGATTCTTAATGCTCAGAAAAATGGTAAGCAACATATGGGATAACATTCTGGCCTCATTCAAATCAGTGGAATTTTGCATTTATTTCATGGGTCTCAGGATTTTACCGAAGATGCATTTGCATTTGTGTACAACACAGAGTACACACATGCAGAGCATACATTTTCTGTCATATACACAAAGCAATGCCAATAGTTAAGTTTGTGTGTCATTTCCCACGACTAGATTCTGTTTATTTTATTTAAATAAGTCATAATATACTTTGGGTAACAGCATCTTACATATAAAATTTTTTTTATCTATAAATCCACGTAACCCTTCTCATGGGGGAAAGGGAACATACTGAAAATGCAATCTGATGTGTTCAAGGACAACGCTGAGATAAGGGATACAATCACCCTTGAAAAAATATTTATTAATTAAGGCATATCACACTACATCAACTTACCTGTGGCATGTCTTCACTGAAGATGGATGCAAAGCCTCCTGACTAAAATATAAGACAAGTGATATTTATCATTCTTACGTATACCAAAAGTTTCTAACACATGTACGATAAGCACGCCAAGCATGTTCCTGAAATAAAACAATGGAAATGCTGGCTTCTAATGCAGCTACAATATAAAAACTCTACCCAATAACTTCTGCAGAAGTGCTACCAAGGTTCTGAAAAGCGAACTCTCAAAGATGACCTGGTATTGATTTCAGTATTACTGTGCGTGTAACTCTATGCTGCTGAGCTGCACTAGCACAGCATTTAACTAATGCTCCGCAGGAAAAGCTGTTTATTACCCTCATCTGCAAATGTGCTGGTGTGCAAGGGGTGCTGCAGGCTGCATCCTTCTCGGACGGCAATGATAGCCTTTGGTGTATGGGGTTTCTGTAACAGAGTGACACTTGAGTTCATCTGCCTCCATTCATTTCAAGGCACTTTATGAATGTTCGCTAATGAACTCTCCAGGAGGTCCATGCTCTCAGTCTTCAGAGAGGCACAGGTGCCACCACACATCCAGCCCCAGCGAAACCTCTCACAACAAAGGGAAGCCCCCAGTTCTCAAATACCTTGTTGATGCCTCTTGTCTGACTCTTACAGCCTCTAAGGTCCCAACACAGCTGCATGTTCCCAGAGCAGCACCCTTGAGCAACAAATTCACACTAGTGACATTTACTGTCATCTGCTTTATCTGTGATGCTGGCAGCCCCTAGTTTCCTTATAAAATCATAGAATCACAGAACAGTTTGAGTTGGAAGGGACCTTCAAAGATCATCTAGTCCAACCCCCTTCAAAGATCATCTAGTCCAACTCCCTGCAAGGGACATCTTGCAGTAGATCAGCTTGCTCAAAGTCCTGTCCAACACTTCCAAGGATGG